TTTCTTTTTTCTTTTTTTTTTTTTAATAATTTTTTTTTTTAGAATGACCCAGTTATCTTATAGTCTTTTTTTCTTTTAAGGCACACACACACACATACACTGAAAATTTCTAAATTTACACACTTCCGAGATACGGAAATCAAACGTTTTGTCTGCCAGACTGTTCGCGTGCTCATTGCTGAGTAGTCGCGTGCGACGGTGGCATATCGCGGACGCGATTTAATCTCCGCAGGCGCGCGCGCGCGAGTCTCTCCACCTGTCGTAATTTTAAGCGGGACGCCGGTGCTATTATGCGCAACGGTACCTCAACTGTTGCATGCGAAGGATTAATTTCACATGCCGACGCGGGGATCTTGTTTGCAATTTCTTGCCCCCCGGGTATTAGCACGGAGCGAAATCTCCGGGCCTGAAATTTCTCTCTCCGACCCAATTCGCTCTGTGTGTATGTGTGTGTGTGTGTGTGTGTGTGTACGTAGCAGCCGCGTGATCTCCCGAGAGAGATCCAAAGTTCCAGTCATTTCTTGTTCGGCAGGTCAGATCGCCGAGATGATCAATACGCTATCGTACCCTCGAAAGTTTCTTCGCGATCGATATCAATCAAACACTTAGCGGCAAGTAGCATGTGCTGAAAGATTGCGCCAAACTCGAAAATTGTAGGAACCGATCAAGACACTACTAATGACCGGCGTTGATTAATATTCGCGTTAACCGACGCAAGGATTACGTAGGAAACGCTTCTTGTTCAATCAAGTGTTTCTCGCAGACTTCATCGGATAATGTAATTCATGGGTTCCTTGAATAATATCGCCAATTCATTTTCCAATGAGGTCGTCGAGAATTTTATTCTTAAAACGTGTGGTTTAATTAATCTTGAAATGAAATATTTCTTAACACATTTATAGTACAAGCTTCGGACAAATTATTCTTACAAGATTCTTGGGGAAAAGTTCTCGAATAAAATTTTATCGTAGAATTGAGCAGAATCTACTCGCATAAAATTTAATTCAAGCGAATCTACGAATAGAACCTGTGTTTCCGCTCAGATGAATTCGAAATACCGATGCGCGTCTGGTATTTGATCTCGAGGCACACTCCACAAGCCCTATCGCCGTCGCTATATCACCCCTTTACACCACCATTCGCATCAGTGCCAGCTTCATCGTGTGAGCACAAGGTTATATTCTGGGAGAAGTTACAACATAATACTCCGAGCCACTTTCCAGTCCACGTGAAACTTTCGGTGAATTTAGCGAGCCGAAATTAATTAACGGAAGACAATGTTCACCTGCGACCGCCAAATTGGCTCTCTCTGCTAATAGTTACGAAAATTTGACGACAAATTTAACGCTGTTGTACGATAATTATCGAAATCCAGAAGTGGCCTTCAATGAGCGTAAATTCACGATACAACGTTAATTACTCGATCACTAATGTCATGAATAATTATTCTAGTGGAACTCTTATAACAATTGCAATAAAATTTTTTTTTATTTTATATAAACGCCTATATATTTTTACATAATACTTTTTACGACTATTTATATTTTTTACTTTTCGCAAAAGAAATTGAGCAAAGGTAATAGTTCATAAATTGCAGCAAAGTAGGGAGCAACTTGGTTAAATTGACTCTAATGGCGGAGCACAATTTTCTACGTCAACGTCAGCACGAAACTTACTTCGCCATATGATCGACATAGAATAATTTATTCTATCGATTATCCGCTCGAGTGCCATAGTCGGCGCGTGTGAACGACATGTTGAAACTCAGTTAAAATCGCCAACGACGCGGCAAAATTTTTAATGTTCAAACTGTCAAGCACGAACAGCGCGAAAATCCATTAAAATTTTCGAGCGCTATTAAAAACGACGGTGTAACTGTTTCCTTAGACAAGATGCCGAGAGCTTTCTCGCTATTAATATTTTCGTAAAGCGGTTATCTATTTTTCTTAGAGAATTATTTTGCATTTTTATAAGACTGCAAAAGCTGCATGAAATACAGATTGTTTCCGCAAAATGGAAAGCGAGCGCGTACAGGTTTTCTCAAGCTGTTTGCATTTTAATATATTGTGTGAAAAAATTGAGATAAATATAGAAGTAAAGCTAACGCATTTTGCAATTTTCTTACTGCAAATCTAATTCTTTGGTACAAAGTGAATAATTCCATCTATTATATTTATTAGTCGCATAAAATTGAAATATACTTTAGTATATTTATTTTTGTAATTTCGCTAAAGTCTTCCAGAATTAATAATGTAAAAATATTCTTATATACCTTTGCTTAAAAAAGTTATGCATTATTCATAATAACCACTGAATGAATATCAATAAACCTTACCTTGACCCAGGTTTCGTGTTTGAATCCCGCCGGTTCCCGAAACAGACTCGTCTCCCTCGTTCGCACCCGTTTTCGAGTCTTTGTCGAACACTCGTTCCTTATAGAATCGCCGTGTCGTCGCGTCTTTCTGAAAGAAAGAAGAACAACCGCCATCAATCTCAAGCCGCACGAACGAGAGTTTGCGAACTGGTCGATCGCGTCTGATTTGAAAGTTACGGAATTCGGGAAGTTGCGTTGCATGCTTGCGCAAAGTGAGCGATCGCAGAGCGAGAGTAAAGACGTCACCTTCAGCGGTGCTTTCGAGCGAAAACTGGCATGTGCAAATAGTGTTACAATATGTTGGCTCTCGGCATCCGTCGTTGCACAACGGATTACGGGAAGTTTAAACAAATCGCCGCGGGCTAGGGTTGTTACACACTTTAGCCCGTGAAACAAAGTTGCAAGTAATTCGAGAAACATGTGTCGGGAATTGTATGCGTTAACAAAGCCCGATGTGTTCGCATAATTGTTACAATAACTCGTAACAGGAGTAAAAGACTAAAATTTCCAAACTAACGATATTAATGGGCGTAATTAGTGTTTTCACTAATGACGTGCGTAATATTTCGTATTAATTAATTATTTTGCATTAATTAATTGCCGTATTAAGTAACGCATTGCGTATAGGCCGTAAATGCTTCTAATAATATCGCGCGTTTTCATATGGCTGCGCGCCGTTATTACACCCCGTTCATGTTATATTGTATTCGAACAATATGCATCTGTGTCTAAATCCGCAAAATTGCATTCTATCTCCATTTTCACATATCAGACGCAAAATGTAACGCAAACGAAACACGAGTCGAAGCGTGTTCCGTGTACGAAGAATTTCTTCCGGAACATAAACTCTAAGAGAGAAAGTAATTTGAATATCTCGCCCGTTCTCTACACGCGCGTACGTTCCATCGACGTTCACAACCCGCTTCGTAATTTCAACCGCAGGCATGGCTCACATGATACGATTCATATACTACGAAAACATCGCTCGAGGATGCTTTATATCAACGATCCTCAAAGAGCGGAAAATAGCGCCCACGCTTTCCCACACTCTCGACGTACATCGCTGTATCTTTATCCTGATTTTCGTGTTTCATTGAGAGATTCCTTTGCCCCGTCGCCCTTTTCGGCATACTTTATCGCCGCGGCGCTTACGTCGGAGGCAGTCCATGTATCCGCCGTAACAGCACGTAATTCTTTTCTTTCTCGACAAGGATCCCAGATAGAGGTAGTGGAAATGAGATTTTCAGGAGCAATTTGAAACGAATTTGCCTGTAAAAGGATCGAGATGGAGGACGGGTTCAAAAACGAAGAGTGAGGTCACGCTGGGAAAATATAACTATGACGATGATAACGGCGGCGACGACGACGACGACGACGACGACGACGACAACGGCGGCGGAGAAGGCGAAGAAGAAAGGCAATACTCTGCGGAATGGCCCGCTTTATTATAGCTTCTATACAGCGCCTGTGGATTTTTCCGTCGAGTATGGTTGACTTTGCATTGTGCGCTAAGTCACTCAGGAATTTTCAGCGCGGTCGGAATCTCACAAAATCAATTCCAGAGATTGCTCGTGAACACATAATACGCGTTTCGTCTACGCAAACTACGAGAGTGTAACATCAGTCGCAGTAGCGTTCAAGTCATTTAAGCCGCATTAAGACTTGGGGTTGTTCGAAGTAAGGCGAAACTACGATGTTATCCCACACACATATACACGCGTGCATACTGTATATTCCGCAGTAATCCGACATATCTTTCGCCTTAATTCCTTAGACCTAGGATACGTGCGGGGCAAACTCGTGCGAAACTTTCCGCCGATCTAAGAAAATTGCGCTAAACAGAGTTCATCGATGTAGAAACAAATTTGCGTCGCGAATGCATTCTTAAAAGTCTGTCAATAATGGTGAAAAAATGTATCAAATATGTCATTGAAGTCGCTGAATTGAGCAACAAACTTCAAGCGGTGACAATTTTGCAATCGCGAGAGAGCGAAATGAATCAAATCGCTTTCAAATTAGCTGAAATAAAACGACGTCAATGGAAAATTTCTATTTTCTCAGCTTTTTGTCCGACAAATAGCGCATTAAATTGCAACAATGGTGCTCGCGCGCAGCTGTAAATTTCACTCCATTGATGGTCTTTTTCAAAGCTTCGAATAAAGATTGATTGATGAAGAATGACGTAGACATTCCGTGAATACAAAAATCACAGTCGCTATTAACAATGCATAGTGTTATTCCATTTTTATTTATGTATTTTTTCGTTATTTATAACTCTTTCCAGATTGTTCAAGTCGCAAAGATTTCAATTATACGATATTTAGAATGGTAGAAATTTAAATAAATAGTTTCTAGTATATCTACCATTTGCTGGCCCAAGATTTCCAAGAAAGTTATAAACAACTATATTACAGACTTGCTAAATCTTTCACGTCATCTGGTTTTCGCCCAATATAGGACCTCTGCGAATTTCCATAAAATTGGGAAACTGTGGCTGAAACGAGCGTAAAGTCTAGAACGTCGTATAAATTCAAACTTCCGCATCTCAAATTTCTTTCCGCCGATATGAACCACATTCTGGCATACGTAAGGAAAGATTAAATTCTCGCGAGAAAGAAATTTCACGATCTAATATAACATGTGTTTGTATGTTTTTTTTTTTTAATTAACTTACACTCTTTTTAAACATTTGTAAATGAGCACGACGTATCAACTAAAAATTAACAAATTAAAAATTTTAAATAACAAAACATAAAATAAATTGCCCATATGTGTCAATGCGTCTTGTGGAGAATTATTTTAATATTTTCATAACAGTTCAAGCTTGAGTTTTACTTCGGAACGCGTGAAACGTCACGCAACGCGACGTTTATTCGCACTCTTTCATCGCCGCATATTCGAATCTTTCTTCAGAAAACAAAGGCTGTTTGATGTTCACGCAAATACATGTCGATTTTCGTGCTAGCAAGTCAACTCCGCAGAAATAAAAATGAAGAAGTTCTCGAAAGAATCAGTGCTATGAAAAGCCACGACAAGCCACCCGGGTTGAAGCAAGAAAGAGCACTTTAAAGCTGGCCTGGTACCATTCATTCGAGTGGATGATTTTTCCTGCTTTTTCGTGACGACGGCAATCCAACGCTTCAATCGCTGTTAGATCTGCCTTTGAATTCTTCTATTCGTTGCTTTTATTTGTAAAGAGAAAATTGTCCAAGTGTGATTTAATCACTGACAATTCCAATACTTTAACTTTTAAATTCGATTTAAATGGATTATCCATAATACATTTATAATCTCGTTAAATCGCAATTATTCACTTGTTGTTGTAAATTATTTATGACTACTGATTTAATTACAAGATTGAATTTTTACATCTCAGTCTACTATTAACGGATATAAAAATACAATTGTAATTTTATTATTAGCGAAAAATAATCGATAATTTATTTTTATAGAAAAGTCTTTCGCGTAATTTAATTTTTACGTATGGATCTAATGTTCAAACAGTATTATCATTATACTTTATATTTACTCTAGCATGTTTTCTTCTTCTATTTAATATTTTTATGCTTAATATAGTTTTTTAACTTTGTATTACTCTTTGATACAGTCTTCTGAGTTTTGTGAACACGATCTCATTCCGCAATTTTTCTTTTTCTTCTATGTAGGATCTAACAATCCGAATCCTCGAAGCGAGATCGTTACCGAGCTTTCTTCACTTTGAACATCTCTGGCAAAGTCGAACGCAGCTTCACCTTTCATTATCGTACTTCAAACTGACTCGCAAAAACGGAACATAAAGTAACTTGTATGCGAAGAAGTACTACAAGAGAAAAGAATTGACAAAAAATATGCTGATCATACAATATTCTTTTTGTGACTTAAGTATAGTAAAAGTAAAATTTGTTTTTATATTATTAACAATATAGGAAATTTTGAATACATTTATTATTCTTTCGAGACGCTAATAAGCAAATAATTATTCAGTACTTATTTAATAACTTTATTTCTATTCACGTGTTTTTTTCTCATGTTATATTATTCAACGCGCAATTTAAAAAACGCCATCAATTATTTGCATATAATTACATTTCTTTCTCAATATATAATTTAATTAAAAGAGAGAAGAGTTTGAGAAATATTGATATAAAATGCAATAATATATCACGACACATTTCATAAATCCAAATAAAATATTGCAGAGACAGTATTATTCAAGTGTTCGCCCCAAAATTAATTGCTTTTTTCATGATTGCTAACAAAAATCTTCTGATGCCAATAAAAATAGTTGAAGCGCTGATAATTGCAGTCGATGAAAACAAAAAAATAACATTTCCGAAGCGCTCTCAGAGAAAGAGCTGTATACGGCTTGCAACAGCGTGCTATTGCAGCCTGCCTTATACGGTTGGTCATTTTCACTATTTCCCAACTGTTACTTACTCAGATACTTTAGCTCGCAACGGAAATGGTGGGTGATTTTGGGAGCAATAACAGCGCGAAAGCATTGAGACATTACCGATAATATCCATTACTGTCTACGTTCAGATTTATTTGTTATATTTACGTCGTATATACCACACACAATCGATACAATCTTTGCACACTGCGAACACCACCTAAAGGCGTGTTTTATTTTAAGAAAACATGTTTCAAAGATTTCTTATATAGATATGATATAAAAAAATGATATGTCAGAGAACGATATACAATAAGCGCGTAGCATATACATATTTAACGATGTTATACGATACTGTTTCGTGAAATAAAATATTTATATGTAGGGGTCTCTCTTATATTGTGAATATTTATGACGTACTTAAAAAATTTCTTACTAAAATACATGATGTTTCCAACATTTCTTCCTCCTCGACGGGAGGATTACCAAAGAATCATAATTTCTGCAAGCCATTTAAAGTGTACGTAAGAATCTCGCGAGAAAAAGAGAAAGAGCTTATATTTTGTATAAACCACTCTGTACATTATCTGCGTAGCATTTGCATCAGCTTCTCTGGCGAGAATTAAATCTGACTACATAGTCAATTACGTTTGACCCTATTAATTTAACTAGCGCATCAAGTCAAGACGCGGCAA